CAAATTTAAATCCCTTTTCCAGGCTGAGAAGGAATCTCACAGTTAAGTCTGAAATCCAGAATTATAAAATACACCACCAGGAGCTATAGATGGTGGAATTATGGATATAACATTAAAATGAATGTATTTTAAAATACTTAGAGAAATAAAAGGTGGAACCAAGTTTTGTTATTTAGTGTTTTCATTATCCAATTTGAGTTTCATTATCCAATCCAATTTTCAGTTTCCTTTAAGATTTCTTTGACCCATGAATTGTTTAGAAGTGTGTGTGTGTGTGTGTGTGTGTGTGTGTTGAGAGTGGTGGGGGTTTTGGTGGTAGTGATGGGGGTTTTGTTTGTTTTTTAGTTTCTAAATAATTGGGAAGTACCATTGATTTTTAATTTCACCTCATTATTATTACATAAAGTTTCTGTTGTTATTTGTTAAGATTTTCTTTATAGTTTAGGTCAGAGTCAGTTTTTTAAATATTCTATGTGTGTTTGAACAGAATTATCTTTGATTATTGGGCTTATGGGTCTATATATGTCACCTAGATAAAATTTAGCATTTATAATATCCAGATATTCAATATTCGAAATATTTCATCTGCTTGACAAAATATTCTTCTTGTAATTCTGTCAATTTTTGCCTTATATACTTTGATTTGTGTGATAGCTTCCTGATGAATCAGTATTTTACTTCTTCTTTCATAATAATGCTTTTCTTTTTTTTAATCATTCAGTCAATTTTAAATAAGCTTTCTTTTGCACAGTATTTTCTTGAAATCTTTTTCCAACTGATTGCTTTTAACCATTCTGTGTCATTATATTCAGGAATGCCTCTTGTAAATCTATACCTGCATTTTTGTTTTTAAACTAATTTGAGGCACTGTCTCTGAACTGGCAACATACATTTAGATTTGTTTTGTATTTGGATTTGTTTCTACCACCTTATTTTGTGCTTTATTTTGCTTACCATTCTGTTTTCTTCCTTTTTCTCCTTTACTGCATTCCATTGGTTCTACTGAATATCTTTATCCCACTTTTTGAAATATTATACATTCTACTTGGTATTTATTTTCAAATAGAAGAATTTTTCCCTGCACCAAAACCCCAGCCAGATGACTAGACTCTGGCATTTCCTGGTTCTGTGGGATGGGCTTTCTAGCTCTCCTTTCTCAGAAGGGCTACCTTTGGTGGGTACCATCTTTATGTAAGGACTTCTATTCCACCAGCCTTAGGTGGGCTGATGGCCAAATATCCTAATCTGTATGGACATTCATACCCAGCCCCTAGATGCTAAGACCTAACTTAATCGAGAGCTGATACAGGACTGGATAGCTACAATCTTGGCTTGTGCATGTTCCATTTCACCTTTTTAGTTTTCTATTTATCTTTGGTACCTAGAGATTCCTCTTCTTCTCTCAAGCTCTAGTATAGGTTTTTTTTTTTGTTGTTATTTTTTTTGCTTAGCATTTCTGTGTGAAGTGCAGGAGAGGAACCATGCCAAATCATGTTGCCGCAGTGTGATAAGTGTCCTCCTGTGACTAGATAACAGCTTTATACTCAGCATCGACTAGTGGCTTCACTAGGTGACTAGGCTTGCAAGAGTGCAAATTATTTCCTAAAGTTGCCTCTTTTAAAACTGAAATCTTAGCCGTTCTGGTCAGTTTCCTGGTAAACATTTCACAAATCATTTTTTTGGAGAATGATCAGAAGTGGAGAGAATGACTGTCCCCTGCCCCCAATTTTGTATCTTAATTTGTCATAGGAGGAACCATCTGCTACTATTTTCTTTATTCCTATAAATGATTTTCATTGCACTTCAAATTATTTGGGTTTGAGTTCTTTAGAAACTTCTATTGTTTATTGATTTATGTTTCATGATACAGGAATTATTAAGATAATGTTATCAAATAAATATGCATCATAATCTGCTTGCTAACATTGATAGGACTGGAAGAGACATGGCTTCTACTGCTATTTGATTGGAAACAAACTTTCAACATTTACAGAAGCAAATCAAACCTGTGGAAATGAAAAGGCTTATCTAACAACTATTGAAGACCGGTATGCAACTATTTTAATTTTACTTGGAAATATGTAATGAAACATTTTCAGAAAAGCCTAAGTATCAACAGGCTCTAATCAGATAGTTCTATTAACACTCTAGTAAATACAATTATAGATCTAACTTTTTTCTGATATAGTCTATGTCAAATTTTTTAAAGCAGAAAAAGTAAGTAAAATTTGTCAGTTCAAAAACCCTACTATCTTTACCTCTACCTCCACCAAAAAACAGGGCAGAGAGATTTCCTGAATATTTTATTCATCCTTTCCATTCTTCCACTCCTTTCTTTGCTCTGCTTTGGTAGGTTTACTAGATTGGTAAGTCCAGAAAAATCACATGGACATAGAGGATTTTTTTATTTGGTAACTTTTGACCTCTAGAGTCCCATACCTCTTTGAGGTTTTAGTATTTACTTTCCCCCTACTCTTTGCAGAGCTGGTTAGGCTAAGAAGAAACAAAAGAAATTTAAAGTGTTCATTTGATTTGCAGTAAAAAAGTAAGAACATACTGAGTTTTAATGAATAAGTTATATTTACTGGCCATTCAAGGCCGACCCTATAAAATGTAGAGAATGCTATTGATATTAAAAAAATCCTTTGAGAAAATGAAAGCTGTCATAGAATTTGTGTAGTCTTTATAAAACGAAATTTGTACTTGACCCCATCTCCTTTCATGTACAATTAAATGTCTAATATATTGTAAGCACCCTGATATAATGCTAACATCTGAAAATCAGAACACATACTTCTTATCTAATGACACGGAGATGAGCTGCACATCTTTAATATCATAGAGATATATTCTGAGCTTCACCATAATTGATCTTTTGGTCTATTGGAGCAATGATTTCCCTATATTTTATATTCTAGATTTTTTTTCATGTGTTTTCTATTATATTTATATTCAGGAGCTCATTAAGTGTGGTTAAATTTGGTTTTTACACATTAAAGAAAAATTAAGTTCGGAACTTTTAACTTCTTAGTTTATTTGGTCTAGAGAGTGACTGTTATTGGAGCCCCCTCTCCTTTCCCCTCTCTGCTCTTCCTGAAGGCACGTACACCTCCCTTTGTGCCTGGAAACTTTGGCCACCACTTTTGTCTTGCTCCAAAGAGAGGCTGTTGCCCATGGTGCTGCCTTATTGTCTATTTGTTGATAACGACAAACTTTGGTTGCTTTCCTAACCAAATTGTATTATCAGATTATGTCAAATACATAGATGAGATCCGAAGGGAGAGAAAATGTTGGAACTCATGATTTTGCTCCCAGTTCTTTCCAAATATTACATCTCTGCTTCTTTTATTTCTTGATAATTTTCTTTTTTGTTTGAGAGCTGAGATGAGAATGAAAATTGAGGAGAATGTGCACACAGGTTATTCCATTTGTATTATCCTCGATAATGTTACCTCTCAACTTCCTTAACCAAGAATTGTATGGAGTCTTTGAAATATTTGAAATATTTGAAAAGTGGACTGACTTTTAAACAATGTATTTTAAAATGCTATAATTTTCTTCTGTGCATTTTCAGAGTTCTCATATTTTGAGGAGGGGCAGAGAGGCTGGTGAGGAATAATAGAGAGAAATGGCTTGCGTGTATATGGACTGTTTTATTCACTCACCTCCATGGTCTTTTCCTTCAGAAGAACACATTTCCTTAGTGAAAATCTGCATAATTTAAATGACATATGAATATAATGTCAACAAATCATATGTTTGAGTTACCAACAAATCATAGCTCCAACATATAATTGAGATACTTTTTATGTTGATAATTAGAAAAATAGTAATGCCTATGTTCCTAAAACTCAGTAACTTTTCTTTTTTAAAGATATGAACAAGCCTTTCTGACTAGTTTGGTTGGATTGAGGCCTGAAAGGTATTTCTGGACAGGACTTTCAGATGTACAAAACAAGGGAACCTTTCAATGGACTGTCGAGGAAGAGGTTCGATTCACCCACTGGAATTCAGACATGCCAGGTAAGCACAGCACTTCTGTCTGCCATCTTCCTTCACCCTCAAGTCCACCAGGCCAAGCCCAGTAGCCCTCCATGTACCTTCCCAAAAAGGCCAGGTAAATTAACTTTGCTTTCACTATTCTATAGTTCATTCCCTGTCTCTTTCTCTCTGTCTCTCTCTTTTTAATTTTCCAACTAGTTTGCAGGGATCTAAGAAAACAAAAGATAAAACTAGTAGGTTATCTGGTACTGCACTATTTGAAAAATATTGATGAAATGTTAAGTAGCCACAGATGTTCCAAGTGGTTGTTTCTAAACACTTAAAGCTATAGTAAAGGGATACAAAGCTTTTCAGTGCAACAGTGAATAGCAATATTAGTGTGCCTGATTGGAGGAGCCAGGGATAGTGCTCAAGGGAAGCACTTTATTTCAGTATCTTGCATGTGCCACCCTGCTGAGCCCTTTACATGCCTTGAATTTTATTTTATTTTTATAAGAAACCTGTAATGTAAGTTTAGATATCTTCATTTTAAAAACGTGGAAACTGAGAATCAGAAAATTTGTGTGACTAGAAAGTATGTGTACACAGATTTAGACTAATCTGTTTAATTCCCAAATCTGTGCAATTTTATGCCTCCTGATAAATTTTGATGTGCCTTTCCTACTAAGTAGTCTCTGAAATAGACTGAAATACTGTTTGCCTGCATGATATGCCGGTATGACAGCAAATGGCATTATTCATGATTCACGTGGTATGACAACACCTGGGATGGGTGGAAAGCCTGGATGCCTGGGTACAAGCTAAGGAAGGGCTACCAGCTCCAGGGTATGAATTTACTACTTGACCTACCAAGTCCTAGTCTTTTCAGGAGTTCTTTTAATTTTTATTCTCATCTGTCCAATAAAGAAAATAAATCAGTAATTTGGATAGTGTGATCCCTGTTTAATTATTGAATGTTCTAAAAAGCAGTAAGATTTCAGTATATTTTAAAATAACAGCATTAGTATCTCTCTTCTGCATTTTCCCATCACATGTAGATTTTCCCACATGATTTGACACTCAGGTTTGGACTGTCTTCTGTGAGCATTGTCAGCCTTCAGTAGCACCTGTTCAATAATTTTGTATTAATCTATGTGTTAATATGTTTTTAATATGTATTTACCATCTATTTAATGCAGGGCGAAAAGCAGGGTGTGTTGCCATGAGAACTGGGATTGCAGGGGGCTTGTGGGATGTTCTGAGATGTGAAGAGAGAGCAAAATTTGTGTGTAAGCACTGGGCAGAAGGAGTGACTCACCCCCCAGAGCCCACGACGACTCCTGAGCCCAAGTGTCCAGAGGATTGGGGCAGCAGTAAAACAAACTTGTGTTTCAAGGTCAGTTTTACTTGCTAAGCTAATAAAGGCTGTGGAATGTACTTCAGCCTGAAGAATCACCTATGGAGTTTAAACAAACCACCAAAACCCACAATGCCAGGCTCCCCTGTAGAAATTCCAATTTTATCTGGAAGGGGGTCTGGGCATGGCTTGTTTTTAAAGAGCTCTCCTCAGGTGCATGCTAATGACCCGCTGCATTTAGGGCAGGACACCACACACAACACAGAGGCAGCCCCCGGAGCCTCACCGTGCTGTGCCCTCATCACCTGCTGCCTGTCCCTCTCTCCCAGGATTTCTTGCCCTGGTCTGAGCTCCCACTTTTCATCATAATGAAATTTCTGCTCCCCCTCATGTTATCCCATTGCATCTCATTTTTGCCCTGGTCTTCAAGCTCAAGCTTTCAGGTAACTGAACTGATAAATGAAATTCCAGTAATGCCACACAGGTATCCTAGAGGTAATGCCTCATTGTTCTCATTTAACCCTTGATGATTGTGCCTGATGGGAGGTAAAGGCGTCACCACATGGCTGTTTGGTGCCCTTTAAGTGATGGTTTGACATCCTACTCTTACTTTATACATTCCTAGGCTGGACCATCCACTTTTTCCCTTATGTATTCTATTTACCAAAACAAAATCCCAATACTGAGCACCTGAGCCTTTTTCTTTCTCTCCTTGTAAGTCATATCATTTCTAGAAAAGGCTTTATTTAGACAAATACAGAAGTGTACTTATTCAGACAAATACAGAAGGGTAGTATTTATTTAGATAAATACAGAAGTGTACTTATCTACAACTTAATGATATTATTCTCTGAAGAGTCCCATTCTCAGGGTTCCTTTTGTTCATTCCTTTCAATGGCATATAGCCATGGTATGCCCAGTAAGACAGTACAAGCTGTGGGAAAACTGGCATTATTAACACGTGTCAGAATTAAATTGTTTAGTCTTCTCAAACTCAAAGGGGATAGCTACTTGGGTTGATAACTTGTACTAATAGCAATAGAGACTGTTGAGCTGTTCAGTACAGATTAGCCAGTCAGGTCTAAAAGCATAATTTACATAGAAGGGAATATATTTGGTCAAGACAAGAGAGAGGATTTTGTAAATGGACTAACACAAAGAAAATCAGATACTCATTGTTGCCTCTGGAAACTTTTGAGTTACCACACAAAGGCCAGGCTCTTCCTACACCCAGCCACCCACCTGAGGGTGGTAGGCTGTAGAGACGTGTTGCAGGATTTTGAGAGAAGCAGCAGAATTCTCCAGAGCTGGGCAGTGAACCAAGGGTTCCAGAAGAGATAGTATTCACCTGGGTAATACAAATAGTAAATGTGTTTAACAAAATAAAGTTTTATATCACAGTCCAGCAAGTTGAGGTGCTCACAGGGGTCTTGGGAGTTACTAATGTGGAAACTTGCTCAAGGCAACTTTGTGCAGCAAGCTCAAGCTGGGGTCAAGGTGAAGGCAGCCTTGGGTTGCATGGGGACAACTGGGAAGCCATAATCCACTGGAAGCAAATCTCACAAGCCTGTGATAATGAGGGTTATGACTCATGAGAAACAGTGCATGAAAATTATTAAAGTTGATATATACAATGAATTGCTATATTGTTTGCATGTTTGGTGTTTCCCAGGTCACTGTGGACTCCATTTCACTACAGTCTTCTGGATAATATATTTCCTAAATTACATAATCTATTAAATTTACATCTTTTTAGATGCTCTGCCAGATAAATCTTTTGTGGCATGATCCAATAGTTGTAAAAATATACAAACATAAGGAAAAAAGACAAGGTAGTTTTGAAGGATACCACCCACAATGTATTGAAAGACTTTCAGGTTATTCGTTTAAGCTAAACTGGGTAACAGACTATGGCCTAATTTTAGGGAGGTTATTTGCCTTAAAATTTCCTAGTTTGTATTTACTTTCTCTGTATCAAAAGTTCTCTTTTTTTCCCCATCTCAGTGCTTCTTCTATATTTAAACAAGTTATTCCTGTCCTCTACAATGGTCTATATGCCTAACCAATATGCCTACAGTTTTTAATACCTCACTCTACTTTCTCCTATGCTATGAAATAATTTTATTTTCTAAGGCTTTCTCAGAAAAATCATCCCCCCAAATTTTTCTACCCAAATATCTACTCCTAAATTGATTGTCAGCAAAGAAAATTACATTGTTTGGGGCCATTGCAATGTCTTGCTTGTCTCTAAATGAAATATCATCAGAAGTAAATAATTATCTCTCTTGATTTGATAAGCACTGAAATGTAAAATAACTTCTGAAACTCTTATCATCTTCAGCTGTTTGCAAAAGGAAAACATGAGAAGAAAACATGGTTTGAATCTCGAGATTTTTGTAGAGCTCTGGGTGGTGATCTAGCTAGTATCACTAACAAAGATGAACAGCAAACAATATGGCGGTTAGTGACGTAAGTATCTTTTCTATATAATGCTCCTTTCTTTTACCTATTTGATGCTGATATTATGAAAATTCTTGTTTCTGAAATTGTTGACCCTTAATGCTACTGTGAGTATGTCATGTCCCAAATCCAGAGGCCCTTTTTGATCTAGTTTCACTTCCATATACTCCAATTTTATAGGTATAAATCCTGTGATAAACTGCTCTATAAATGTACAAGACACACAATACATATTGTTAAATGAATAAACAAAGTATTATCTTTCCATGCTTTACAATTACTTATCTTCTAATGGTAGCTTGTATTCAGTATCTTTATGGCTTGTACCAAAATGCACATCTCTTACATAATGCTTATATTCAGTCATTGAATCTCTTGACCTGTGTACTGATTATGTTTTGGAGGTAACTTTCTAATTTGATTAGTCCTCATAGGTAACCAAACTTGTTTCATGAAATGGCATAAGACTTCTCTATGTCTTATACATTATAGGGCTAGTGGAAGTTACCATGAACTATTTTGGTTGGGACTGACATATGGAAGTCCTTCAGAGGGCTTTACTTGGAGTGATGGTTCTCCTGTGAGTAATTTGACTTAATATATCATTTTCTTACTTTATCATGTATTTATTTTGATGTTGTCTTTGGCTTAGTCCAAATTTTTGGTAAGATAGATTATGATAGCAAGAAACATTTTCTATGCAAAACAAATGCTATTTTAGAATCATTATTCTGACCCTGTCCCAGTATAGTTCTCCTTTTCACCCATGGTGTACCCTTGGTTGACTGGATGAAAAAAAAAAAGAGAGAGAGAAAACTCATTCCTCTAGTTTATATAAAATCATGTATTCATTCTGTTGTGCAAAATTGGTGTGCAAATAGACTTCTTAAAACTTGAGATTTTATAGCCCTTTAAGGATCATGAGACTGGAAATAACTTTTGATAATCCATTAATAGGCTTTGTTGGGCTTCCTTATTCTCAGGAATGGAGAAGTGAGCTTGTGGCACATGCTGGCCATATTGCCCATTGTTATGTTAGTGACCCTCTAGTTATCATAGGAAGTGATTTTGGTAATTTCGGTTCTGCCTCATTTTCACACCCACTAGCAAATTGTCAAGGCATTGGTCACGGTGGCTTATTTGACAGTTCCATTGATATCTGGGTTTTTTAATTTATACCCCTGGAAAATAGATCATGATGTTTAGCCTAAAACCTTGTGGGCTTTGATTCCACATTGAAAATAGCCCTCCCATTTATTTCCACTGTTCACTGAAAGTTTGGTAGTTTTGTTAGCAACCTTTCATAAGTCTTTTTCTTTTATAAAAAGAACTAATTATATTTCTTTATCCTACCCATCTGATAAAGAGAAAATTTCCAACATCAACACCATACTGAAATATTATCTCTTAGGAAAGGGTACAGATTTAGGAACTCCCAGTACTGAGAAGTGGAGCATTTTTTGCCAAGGTTCTCCTGTATATAAGTCCCTCTTTTGTGGTCCTGGATCCATTCTATTTAGTAAGAATGAAGAACATTTTATGATTAATAACACACTTTATTCAACTTCAAAAGTTCCCATGTGATGAAAGCTGTTGCTTTCCCACCCATGTTCACAGACTTTGCCTTTAAAACAAAGCTATTGTGAAGAAAATGAAAAGTAAATTGATTTAAAAAGTGTAAATATATGTTTCCTTTCCTATTTGGATAGGTTATTGGCATTGGTCTGATATAAATGGTTAATGGTTGCAACATAATGTTTCTGACATAGGTTTCATATGAAAATTGGGCTTATGGAGAACCTAATAATTATCAAAATGTTGAATACTGTGGTGAGTTGAAAGGTGACCCTGGTATGTCCTGGAATGATATTAACTGTGAACATATCCATTAATAGGCTTTGTTGGGCTTCCTTATTCTCAGGAATGGAGAAGTGAGCTTGTGGCACATGCTGGCCATATTGCCCATTGTTATGTTAGTGACCCTCTAGTTATCATAGGAAGTGATTTTGGTAATTTCGGTTCTGCCTCATTTTCACACCCACTAGCAAATTGTCAAGGCATTGGTCACGGTGGCTTATTTGACAGTTCCATTGATATCTGGGTTTTTTAATTTATACCCCTGGAAAATAGATCATGATGTTTAGCCTAAAACCTTGTGGGCTTTGATTCCACATTGAAAATAGCCCTCCCATTTATTTCCACTGTTCACTGAAAGTTTGGTAGTTTTGTTAGCAACCTTTCATAAGTCTTTTTCTTTTATAAAAAGAACTAATTATATTTCTTTATCCTACCCATCTGATAAAGAGAAAATTTCCAACATCAACACCATACTGAAATATTATCTCTTAGGAAAGGGTACAGATTTAGGAACTCCCAGTACTGAGAAGTGGAGCATTTTTTGCCAAGGTTCTCCTGTATATAAGTCCCTCTTTTGTGGTCCTGGATCCATTCTATTTAGTAAGAATGAAGAACATTTTATGATTAATAACACACTTTATTCAACTTCAAAAGTTCCCATGTGATGAAAGCTGTTGCTTTCCCACCCATGTTCACAGACTTTGCCTTTAAAACAAAGCTATTGTGAAGAAAATGAAAAGTAAATTGATTTAAAAAGTGTAAATATATGTTTCCTTTCCTATTTGGATAGGTTATTGGCATTGGTCTGATATAAATGGTTAATGGTTGCAACATAATGTTTCTGACATAGGTTTCATATGAAAATTGGGCTTATGGAGAACCTAATAATTATCAAAATGTTGAATACTGTGGTGAGTTGAAAGGTGACCCTGGTATGTCCTGGAATGATATTAACTGTGAACATTTGAATAATTGGATTTGCCAGATACAAAAAGGTATGATAATCTACCGTCTCTTTTATCTGAGGTTAGAGAACTAACCTCCTGACATCCCCATATCTTCCCTTTATTAGCAGAACCAAACAAACAAAATAACAAAATAAGGAATCTGGCAGGGGCCACCATTTCACAGGATAAGAATGAAGTCACTGAGCACAGATAAATGTTCTAAAGGAACAGAAGATCAAAAGGCCACCCGGGAATCCTGGACAAGAGTCACGTCCTCCAAAATAGTTCCCATGAGCTGTGATTCTGGCTCAGGTTCTATAGTGGTGGGTGTGGGTGGGTGTTCTACTCTGTACAGGGTAATGAAAAAGTCATTTATTTTTCAGAATTTTCACCCTCTGACCTACATAGTCATCCAGTAATTGAAAGTTTCTCTAAGTCCAAATAGTCTAAGGATTGATTCCTTTAGTAAATGTTCAACACAAAGAACAAGCACCATTTTGAGGCCCCTGGTGCTATTAAACCTACCATGTTATTGATGGTCAAAAATACCAATGCATGTATTAATCTTGATCTGTTAGAAAATTCCACATATACAAGTCAGGCATTGAGGCAGGGGATCTAGGTGCTTACATTAAGATAAACAGCCCCACCCTTGAACCATAACATACCTAAAGCTAAGTTCCTCCTCCTTTGTAAACATAAATGGAACTATGTTGCCCTCTGCTGTTGGGGAATGCTGGCTACTTTGCTCTCCTGCTATCTGCTTCTTTTCCTTACTCCTGCCTAGATTAGTGTTTTCAAGTTTTCAGAATGGAAGAATACATAATGGCCAGTTTTTCTTTAAAGGGCTCCTAGCTGCCTCTGACTGGTTTTTCTTATGTATTATTAGTAGCTCTATTCTTGCAGTTGTAAGTACATTAAACCAGAAGCTAGTTGTTTAATCAGATTCTAACAAAGTTCTCATATATCATTAGCTACTTGGAAAGAAAGATTTCATTTAAGTTTCAGTAAAATACATACTTAATAAAAATAAGATTCTTTGAAGGAAATTTTTTTATTAATAAACAGTTCATATTTAGTGGTTTTAAGTAATGAAATTTTAAGTATTTTCACAGCTAATTAGAAAATGTGTGACTGTAAAAATGACATCTATTGAGTCTCTTCTAAATAACAGTAACTCAAATATTTTACCCTACCTCTTCACACATACCACTAACTCCTTTTTGTAGATGACAAAATTAAAAGTTAAGCAGTCTAAACCCAGGTCTGGGATTTGAACCTAGGCTTTCCAATTCCAAAACTCTTGTTCTTTTCTTTCCTTTATATGGTACTACTTGTTCCTGAAAACTGGGTCCCATTTTATGGTGACTGTTATTGTACCTAATTTGTTGAACTGTTAATTAACTACTTACTTCTCCTCCTCCATAACATGATAGGGGAATTGGCAAGTGGGAAGGAGGGAGAGACAGAGAAAGGACAGCTAAGTTGTTAGCTATATTGACCCACGAAAATAGTGAAACTAGAAGAATATGTAATAGAAGTTCAAGCATACATAATATCTAATTTTCTTTTGTTTTCCAGGACAAACACCAAAACCTGAACCAACGCCAGCTCCTCAAGACAGTAGGTGTTTGTTTATTTCCTGATCTCCCTATTGACAGCCTTTCCCCCTCTTTCCTTTCTCAGTAAAAAAAAAAAAATACTTACCCTAGGAAGGTGGAGAGCAGAGGTTCTTAATATCTTGGAGAATCTCATGAGAGTTTGGATCTCCCCCTCCAGATGGATGCTCACATGTACAAATATAAGGCATGATAATAAAAAGCCTCAAGAGTTCACAAATCTAATTCAAGGCCCAGGTTTCTTCTTTAGCACATGTATTAGTTTCCTATGACTGGTGTAACAACTTGTCACAAACTTGGTGACTTAAGGCAATAAGCCACCAAGCTTATTGTTTGGTGAAAAGTGCATTTATTCCCTTACAGTTTTGGGGGTCAGGAATATGAACTCAGTTTCACTGGGCTAAAATCAAAGTATCAGCAGGCCCACCTCCCCTTGAGAAGCTATTTCCTTGTCTCTACCAATTTCTAGAGGTGCATTACTTGTGTTTGTTGGTTCATGGCCCCTTCCTTCATCTTCAAAACAAGAAATGGAGCATCTTGTTTCATTTGTCACATTGCCTTCTGCTTCTGCAGGCAAATCTCCTCTGCCTCCTTCTCTAAGGAACCCTGTGATTACATTTAGGGTCCACCCAGATCATCTAGATTGTCTCTCCATGTCAAGATCTAATTGCCTTTACAAAGTACTTTTTCCCATATAAGGTAACACTCACAGATTTCAGAGATTAGAACCTGGATATCTCTGGGGGGTCTTGTTCAGCATTCTACAGCAAAGAACCCTAGAATTCCATGGTTTGGAAGAAGACTTAGGAGCTCTCCTGGTATGTGGCTTCCTGGATTCTCCAGCAAAGTCCAAGTTCTTTGTTATGTTGAGATGAAAGCTGATTTTGCTCAGCTTCCAACCCTTGAACCTAGAACATCACAGGTGCCTGTCTGTAAAGACTTCCAGCAATGCCATCCTACTGATGAAAGTCACATCGGGAGTTCTACCCAATAATGATGCATGGAACTTAGTTGAGAAGAAAAAGTGGCTACTTTATACGGAGTTGGTAGAAAGTGCATATCTGGCCTTAAATAAATTTCATTTAAGTTTCAGTAAAATACATACTTAATAAAAATAAGATTCTTTGAAGGAAATTTTTTTATTAATAAACAGTTCATATTTAGTGGTTTTAAGTAATGAAATTTTAAGTATTTTCACAGCTAATTAGAAAATGTGTGACTGTAAAAATGACATCTATTGAGTCTCTTCTAAATAACAGTAACTCAAATATTTTACCCTACCTCTTCACACATACCACTAACTCCTTTTTGTAGATGACAAAATTAAAAGTTAAGCAGTCTAAACCCAGGTCTGGGATTTGAACCTAGGCTTTCCAATTCCAAAACTCTTGTTCTTTTCTTTCCTTTATATGGTACTACTTGTTCCTGAAAACTGGGTCCCATTTTATGGTGACTGTTATTGTACCTAATTTGTTGAACTGTTAATTAACTACTTACTTCTCCTCCTCCATAACATGATAGGGGAATTGGCAAGTGGGAAGGAGGGAGAGACAGAGAAAGGACAGCTAAGTTGTTAGCTATATTGACCCACGAAAATAGTGAAACTAGAAGAATATGTAATAGAAGTTCAAGCATACATAATATCTAATTTTCTTTTGTTTTCCAGGACAAACACCAAAACCTGAACCAACGCCAGCTCCTCAAGACAGTAGGTGTTTGTTTATTTCCTGATCTCCCTATTGACAGCCTTTCCCCCTCTTTCCTTTCTCAGTAAAAAAAAAAAAATACTTACCCTAGGAAGGTGGAGAGCAGAGGTTCTTAATATCTTGGAGAATCTCATGAGAGTTTGGATCTCCCCCTCCAGATGGATGCTCACATGTACAAATATAAGGCATGATAATAAAAAGCCTCAAGAGTTCACAAATCTAATTCAAGGCCCAGGTTTCTTCTTTAGCACATGTATTAGTTTCCTATGACTGGTGTAACAACTTGTCACAAACTTGGTGACTTAAGGCAATAAGCCACCAAGCTTATTGTTTGGTGAAAAGTGCATTTATTCCCTTACAGTTTTGGGGGTCAGGAATATGAACTCAGTTTCACTGGGCTAAAATCAAAGTATCAGCAGGCCCACCTCCCCTTGAGAAGCTATTTCCTTGTCTCTACCAATTTCTAGAGGTGCATTACTTGTGTTTGTTGGTTCATGGCCCCTTCCTTCATCTTCAAAACAAGAAATGGAGCATCTTGTTTCATTTGTCACATTGCCTTCTGCTTCTGCAGGCAAATCTCCTCTGCCTCCTTCTCTAAGGAACCCTGTGATTACATTTAGGGTCCACCCAGATCATCTAGATTGTCTCTCCATGTCAAGATCTAATTGCCTTTACAAAGTACTTTTTCCCATATAAGGTAACACTCACAGATTTCAGAGATTAGAACCTGGATATCTCTGGGGGGTCTTGTTCAGCATTCTACAGCAAAGAACCCTAGAATTCCATGGTTTGGAAGAAGACTTAGGAGCTCTCCTGGTATGTGGCTTCCTGGATTCTCCAGCAAAGTCCAAGTTCTTTGTTATGTTGAGATGAAAGCTGATTTTGCTCAGCTTCCAACCCTTGAACCTAGAACATCACAGGTGCCTGTCTATAAAGACTTCCAGCAATGCCATCCTACTGATGAAAGTCACATCGGGAGTTCTACCCAATAATGATGCATGGAACTTAGTTGAGAAGAAAAAGTGGCTACTTTATACGGAGTTGGTAGAAAGTGCATATCTGGCCTTAAATAATTCAATCTGTATTTGGCATAAACATCCCCTTATTCTGGGAACTCAGATCAGTTATAGCTAATCTGCCTTTTTCACTTTTGTGTACCATACATGCCAAATTCTTGAATTCATCTAAATAATAGTCATCACCTTTTTTCATTAATTTTTCAGATCCACCAGTCACTGAAGATGGGTGGGTTATTTACAAAGACTACCAGTACTATTTTAGCAAAGAGAAGGAAACCATGGACAATGCACGAGAATTTTGCAAGAGGAACTTTGGTGATCTTGTTTCTATTCAAAGTGAAAGTGAAAAGAAGTTTCTATGGAAATATGTAAGAATATGATTAATTTAAGAATGAAACAGTGACATATAATAAACAAAGATAATGTCTATGATTGGTACCTTAAGGGACAATTTCATGTTATATGCTGAATTGGAAACTTCTAAGGTCAGAGGTAAAGATGTGAATGCCAGAGGAGGGGAGAGAGGTGTTGGCCATAAGAGAGGTGAATGACATGATTGCTTAAGATCCATTCAGTACAGAATCACAGAACCCAGAAACAGTTTTCAAAGACTAAGATTTTTAACTAGTTGTTATGTATCAATCTTGGACTCTGTATAGTGCAGGTTGATTATTAATTTAAAAATCTGTCTCAGCTGGACCAAATTGTCGGTTAGTAGATAGTACAACTTTATTATTCACATCAAAATCTTTTGTGGTTATACCCAAACTGTTGGCTAACAGTGAAGGTGTAATTTATTTTTTCCAAGACTGCTTGGCTCAATCTTTCTCTTTAAACATATTCATGACATCCTCATTGTTTGCCAGAAAAGAAGTAAGAGGGAGAGCAGAAAAAATAAGCTGAATAGTAATGAAAGAATGGAAATTCTTTTGAGTTTGAATGTAGCCTGACTTATGTTCATGTTTGTGGATACACCTTGGTTTGAAATTCTCAGGATATTTCTTAAAACTGAACAAATATATATGTGAATGAAGAAGTGTTTCCTTAGTTGCATAAGCCTAAATGGCAACTTTGTTTTAAAGAATGTCTTCAATAACCTTTAATTACTTCAATTAAAGGTTCAATTACTTTAGGCATTAGATAGTATAGAGAATGACTTAAGATATTGGTTTTGTAAATGCAGGTTGTTTTATAGTATGCATATTTTTCTTTTTATTTCTATGAAAAACGTAACATTGAATATATACCAAAATTTCTGCATGAATCTGTTCTTAGAAAAGGCTCCAAATAGGGACCTCATGAGTATGTAGGTTTTTTTTATAAGAATTTGCTTATTACATAAGCATAGATTGAACTTTGTATAAACTTCCATGTTTTAGGTAAACAGGCATGATGCACAGCCGGCATATTTTATTGGCTTGTTGATCAGCTTGGATAAAAAGTTTGTGTAAGTAAATAAAAATAAAACAACTTTGTTTAGGATAGTTATCCAGTCTTATTTTGAGACTTTTGCTTTGCTGAATTTATTTTTAAATATTGCACTGAGTTCTCAATCTAAAAATCATCTTTGAAAAAAATAAAAAGAATTTTAAACTCCTGTTAAATATTTTCAATATTATAATTCTCACATAAACAACTCAAAATCCAACTTAATCTTGCAAAACGTCTATCTTTGTTGTAGGGTGTCATTACCTGTTAGCTAGTCATCTACTAAGACGAGCAATTATGCAAAATGAATACTGAATTTATCTTAAAAATTATAATGCCCATTTGCCCTGTCCTTGGTGCGCAGACGGAAGGGTGCCTTCATGTTGCCCTACTCACTGCTCTAACAGCCCTGCTCTGAGGAACCCTTTCAAATTCATGATATGCTTTCCCTTCAAAGGACAGACTGTGCTGTTTTTCATTAGATACAGGGGCCAGGAAAAGCAGCAGGAAGGAGGAAATTAGTGCATTTTGGGGGTTTCTTTCCTTGTTCATTATTACATGTTCTCCTAAGTTTGAAATGCAGATATGTTTTCCTGGCTCCTGCACAGATATTTTAGCCACTGTGTTGTTTCAGGTGACTATTATTGTCATTTTCGCGCAATGGAGACCTAGACACACACTCATTATTTTTAAAGATCAGAAATGTTTGAAGCTGTTTTGGACAAGCACCAGTTTTAATCATCTCTAAAATGAGAGAGTTGAATTCGTTGATCTCTTGGTCTCTTTCCAGCTAACAGTCTCTGAATTTGTGTAGTTTATGAAAATAAGCATTGGCCCACATACCTTAAGAGAAACCAGTGTAAACACAAAAATCAGAGAATGAGCCTAATGAAAAACTATATTCTCTGCCTCTCTTTGGGTGGTTTTGTTTTGTGGTAATCAGACCTAAGAAGTACTATGGGAGGATTTCTGCTTCTGGCCCACTTCCAGAGTAACTGGGATTCCTACTTTTCTCACTGCAAGACTAAAGGTAGCCTCTTCCAGGGAAGGAAAATGAGACTGACTAGCCAAGGCATTGGGTGTTATTGATAAGTATGTCATGGGAGCACTGATCGCCCCTGAGATCTGCCCGCTGGTCTCTCTATAACTCCCTTGTGCTTCTTTCATCTGGGTTGAGTCACCCAGTCCCACCACTAGGTGGTTATTGTCATTACTGGATTGTTGTTAAATGCCTGAATTTTCTTTCCCAGTTGGATGGATGGAAGCAAAGTGGATTATGTGGCTTGGGCCACAGGTGAACCTAATTTTGCAAACGACGATGAAAACTGTGTAACCATGTATTCAAATTCAGGTAGACAATATAAAAATCCTCCTGAACTGGCTTTGTGTGTGGTGTGTCATATGCTACATCCCCCTAGGCTAAAACTAATAAATTATGAACCTAGTCAAAAAAGGAAGAGACAATGAAGAAGAATTGTAATTGTAGCAGCATACTGTTCAGTTTGTAAGAATGGGTGCTTAACATCCACTCTAATAAATGATGCAATCTTCTCACTTCTTATTTTATAAAACATTTTTCATGCTCTGATTTGAGGAAAATATCCAGAATGTTCATGTATCTACTTTATCTCTCTCCATATTTTTATCTATAAAATGGGAATAATGACAAGTTATCTGTTGTTGAGAAGATCAAAGAAATAATACATGTAAAACACTAAATAAATGTGTGGTATGTATAAAGCTTAGGTATTATCAGATTATTATTATTAGTTATTACTGTTTAGATAAGAGACAAGCAACATCAAATATATGCTTGACTCATAGGAATCACTCTATAAAGTTGAACTATTTTAGTTTAAGTGAAAGAGCAAAAGATTATTGCATAGACCTGTCTAGTCACTTGGGTAAAAATGATGCTTGTCATCTAAGTCATTTCTGAGAATATTATACATAAACTCTGTTTCCAAAAAAAGTTTTTAAATGTAACTATGTAAATCTAGAAATTCATAATAAATAATAGTAACAATAAAATAAATCAGTAATAAATAAATCTAATTTGGCTATTTTGTTCTTTGCCAGGGTTTTGGAATGACATTAATTGTGGTTATCCAAACACCTTCATCTGCCAGAGGCATAACAGCAGCGTCAACACCACAACTGTTCCTACCACGCCCCCCACCCCAGGAGGTTGCAAGGAAGGTTGGAATTTTTACAGTAACAAGGTACTAAGAGAATTAGTTGTAGTCTTGGCATTGATCAATATGGAGAGTGACAGTGCAAATCTTACAGCCTTAAAGTTAGCTTTGGCTTCACTCATCACTTTAGAACATTTTAGGCAAGAGTAGGTGGAGATTCCCGTGTCAAATACTCTAAGGAAACTGAGAGTATACTTGAAAATACTATCCAAATAGCTGTGCTCTTTTTCCCAAGGGGGAAAAACTTTGCAAAGAAAGTTTGTGGGTAATAAAAGTAACTTAATTTTTTAGATCTCTATTTGGCTGTGAGAAAGTTTATGTTTAGCTATAATCTTCATAAATAATGTTAATTTCTTTAGAGCAAATGCTTTTCTCCTTACTTAATCCCTATGCTTTTTTTTTTTCTCCATCCCAGTGTTTCAAAATACTTGGATTTGTTGAAGAAGAAAGAAAAAATTGGCAAGAGGCACGAAAAGCTTGCATAGGATTTGGGGGAAATCTGGTATCCATACGCAATGAAAAAGAACAAGGTGTGCAGGCCATTTACAAGCAAAGATACACTTAAATATGTAATATTTTTCCTTATAGCAGTAGAATGTTGCTGATAGTAAAAGATTTTTTTAGTCTTTCAGAGTAAAACCTAGAGAGGGGGAAAAAATCAAACACATAAGGAGAACTACAGTTAACCCTTGAACAATGCAGGGTTATGAATAGTGACTCCCATTAGATTGAAAATCTGCATATATCTTTTAAGTCCAGACACTTAAATACAGTATCCTGTGGTTGACTGGAAACCTTACCAGTAATAAACAGTTTAACACATATTTTGAATGAATATGTATTATGTACTCTCAACATTAAAGTAAGTAAAAGAAAGAAAACGTTTTTTCAAATTGTTGTAAATCTCCCCCAAATATTCCATTATATTTGTTGAAAAAAAATCCACATATAAGTGGACTCATGCAGTTCAAACCTGTATTGTTCAAGGGTCAACTATAGTATTCAGGGAGCCTTGAGTCAAGGTTCTTGCCAGGTAAATGGTAGGGTATGGAATCATACTGGGTCTTCCAGCTTAAATTCCATTCTGTTTCCACCAAACCAGTTGTTTCCCTAAGAGCCAAAGAAGTAGAGTAGTCCTAGAAATAACATTTGAAAATACTGATTTACCATTTACTGCTCTTTTAGCCACTTGGTCACATAATTTCTAATGCAATAAAACTAATTTTTAAATATGAACTTTGAACAAATTGAGAAAAATTTTTTGATAAAACAGAAGTATAAGTCAGAGCTTTGAAGAAGAGCACTGGAGAAAACTTGCTCTATCCATAGAGCAGAGTACAGAATTTATTACACTGCTGTTTGGGAAAAGTACCTGACCACTTCTCCACTTTCTCCCTTTCAGGGCCACAGAGCCTACAAGACTTATTAGGTTAGAATTAGTGGCTTCTCGCTTTAGGAGGATGTTGCTCAGCAGCGGCCATTCAGATAAAAGTAACTGAACTAATGAAGGGTTTGGAATCACAGCCGGCAGCAAGTGAGGAGTGTGTGAAAGACCCTCATGTTTCATAGCCTGGAAAAGAGAGAATATGGACTCCTGTGTGGCTTCAAAAGGAAGACTTAGGACCAATGAATGGCAGTTACGGGGAAATAGATTTAGGCTCAAAATTAGGAGGTCATTCTAACAATTAGATATGATTGGATGGGGTGCTTCATGACTTCTCTTGAGGAGCTGTGAAAGGCTTATATTGGAAGGTTCTCAAATGGATGCTATAGAGTCATATATATTGACAGGTATGTAGCATGGAAGTTGATCAGTAAATGTTGAATAAATTTATGCATGATGGAGTAGCGATGTGGACTGCCTAATTTCCAAGTTCCTTTGGTTCTCAGATTCTTTGACTTTCAGAATCACTTACTGGAGAAAATGGTATGTCTCAAAAAAATGTAAGAAAGAAGAAAGACACTAGAACCCTGTATGGAGCTCTGCCAAATGTTAATTTTACTCCATAAATTCTTCCATGTGCTCTCTTGGAAAACATTATATGACAGAACAACTGAGGTTTCACTGAGAACCTTTCAGCAACTTTTCAGACACCAAAAAAAAAAGGAGGTCAAACCGTAGCACATTAAAAAAAAAAAATTGAGGAATATAACACTTACATTTCTCTAACTGGTCTACCATATCTTGGGTTTAGCTACCCAGCAGAGAAACACAATAATTGATTTCTTCTCTTAACCACAAAGTGCTGATTCCTGGCATTAACATAAGTAGAACCTGGGTATAGAGATGTGCAGAAGGAAACCATTTTCAGATAAACTAATATTATTCCTGGCAAAGCAGGCACACTTTGCCAAATTCTTATTGTGGCTCTTGGCAGAAAAAAGGTCAGTGCTGCAATATTGGCAGGTAGAGCTTTCTCACACTTCATGTCAAGTTGGGGATAGGGCAACAGTTACGATTTTTTAGGAAAAAAAATAAAACCAAAATAAATAGCTACCCATGCTCTTCTTTCTCTTAAAAATATTAGAAGAAAAAACAAAAAAAGTTATTTCTGTTTTTTTTTTTAATTGAGAAATCTCTGAACAACGTGGTAACTGCTTCTACTACTTTGCAGAAAAGTAAGCATGTAGCCATGGCCCTTTCATGGAATTGTTTGTTCATAAGTAAACATATAATTGTATCTCTGTGGGCTTCTCTCTGTTGTGCATTTGCCCTTAGTAATCTAAGTGCTTAGTCATTAGGTTTCCTATTTGCATTCAGAGTGGTGTTTAAGCAAACGTATTTGGAAATTGTTGTTCTATAGGGCTGCTCCCCATTCACCTAGGTATCCATGGCTCCTGTCAGGTAAGGCAGCTGGTGGTGTGGGAGGCCTGGGGATGGGCTAATGGGGGGCTAATGTAGCATGTGTACATATAAACGTTTTACAGCTTCTCGATACCTGCCTCCTCTCTGCCACAGAACTGATATGGAAAAAAGAGGCCATATTTGCTGTATATTCTCTGAATTTCTTTAGATCTTCTTCTCTCCTAATGATATGAACACTCAACAACAGGATGCCCCTGGGTCTACTCATGCCCAGTGTATGGCCACTAACCCCCAGGAGTGGCCACTTAGGACTAGTTCCAATCAGGTGGCTCTTCTGATTTGGCAATTCAAAGTAGTGCTAATCTGACAGCCTAGTGTTTTCCTTTGACAACTGTTTTCATGTTCAGAACTTTTCTGGATTAAGAACCCTCTTTGACTCCAAATTATTGCAATCAGATTATTTATAGAATCTGGACACCTGCTAATTCATAGGATGGTTGTGTATGAATTAGAAAAATGTACCTCTCCCTGCAGAATGGTAGGCAGCCACAATCCAGATTAGGGTGTAGGACATGGGGAGTAGGGCCTGGGGTGGACTTCGGAGTCCCTTGCCTCAGGGCCAGAGTGCCCTGGGCAAGGCACAGTCTGCACAAAGCAATCTGCAGTGGCCCCAGCGAAACCTAGACTTTCACTGAACGAAACTTTTCAAAGTCCAAAGCTGAAGCAATAACATGATGCCGAGGACAGAATATATGTATTTTCATGGCAAGTGCTTTTAAATTACCATAAAGTCATTAAATCACATGTGCAGTATTTTGAAGTTAAGTGTGTTTCAAATATTTTCCCCCAAAGTATAAAATTATCTTGTGAAACTTCTTTCAGCCTTTCTTACCTATCACATGAAGGACTCTACTTTTAATGCCTGGACTGGGCTGAATGATGTGAATTCAGAACATACATTCCTTTGGACGGATGGACGAGGAGTTCATTATACAAACTGGGGGAAAGGTTACCCTGGCGGAAGAAGGAGCAGTCTTTCCTATGAAGATGTAAATATCCGTTTCAGACCACCTCTCCGTACACAGTCAGTTTGCTTAAAGTCATCTTATTTGTAGTTTATCTTCTGTGAAAAATCAACTAGACTACTCCTTGATCTGTTGTATCCTTGTAGATTTTAACTGTTACAGGTGAAGCCAGCCTTAAGGGATGAGGTATAAATTTAGCTAAGAACTCCTCAGCTTGCAGGGCAGGAGATCGTGACAGTAAGGAATGGGCAGTGTGGGCCTGTGTTCAGTTAGGATGTGCCCTTGAACCAAAAATTATCAACTGTCTTCGCATCAACTGCCTCAGCTCTTGAAGCCTGTAGTCTTTGCAGCCCTGCCTGGAAGTTCCCACAACTTCTAAAGACAGCATCATGTCATCATCACTATCATCACTGAGCTGCCATTTGTAGAGTGCCTTCCATGTGCCAAACACTATGCTAAGGGCTTTTTTACGTTAACCTAAGAGACTATTCTTTCTTTATTCTACTACTCTTAATCCTATCATTGAATGTCAACCAATCAACATTAAACACCATACTAGGCATTGAGGAGAAACATGAAGAAACCTAAGTTTTTGTTCTTACCTTAAAGAAGCTTACATGTGTGCTAGCCCACAAATCTTATGTAAGCAAGAAGATAGTAAAGAAATGCAAGTGCATGAGGACAGAGTTCATCACAAAGCACTGGAGAACGTGGGAAAAAAGAAACTTACTATGGGATAAAGTGATCCAGTCAGTTAGCACTTATCTCTAGAGCCCTTTATTTGATGGAGAGAAACAATAGCAAAAAGATTCAGCTATGGGTCTTATTCTCAAGAAGTTTATATAATGATCAGAGAAGAATTTCTGTGAAGATATTGTTTGAATCCTCATTACATAAAGGAGGGCTGAAAACTTACTAAGTTAAAGTAGGACGGAGTGAGGTGAGGTTTGCTAAGAAAGATTTCTGGATGAGAGGTGAATTTTATGGATAGCAAAAAAAAATATTCTTGCACAAGAACTTTGTTTTTAGAACATAAAAGCAGAAACAACAAAACCAAAATCTGCTAATTTATGGTTAAATTTATTTCTAGACTCTTTCTTAGTGCACATAAAAATATGTGTTTATGCTTCACAAAAATGGAATCGAAACACATACTGCATTGTTACAATTTCAGGACTTGAGAAAATAGAGAGCATTAAATACAGTTTGATAGAAAGTACAAGAGAACTCTCCATATATTTTGTTGGTGGAAATGTGCTTGTTGTGTACAGGTTTTCTGGAGTAGAGCAAAGATTCTGAGCTGTAATGGAAGAGAAGAATAGCTAAGAAGGGAGATAGGATGAGTGGAGAGTCTTTGAGTGTAGGACTGGGATTCCCTGAGAGCTGGGGCTCACGGGACAGGGAGGCTGGAGGCAAGGAGGAGGGAGAGACAGCTGTAGCAGTGGGGCAAGCTGTGAGAGTGGTGGATGAGGGCCTCGGGCAGAGCTGTTTCTCAAACACAACCACATTATTAAGGATCGGGGTTCTTTCTGCCTTTCTGCTCCCATCATTATTGTGCTGGCCTCGCTCTTCATTCTTGCCTGGCACATAGAGAAGTTTCAGGTGTTACATCCAAGCAAGACAGTACCCAATCTTTACTTCCTTTGTGGCTTTGTATTAACAAGGAGCCCTTTCTGGGGAGCACTCCTGCCCCAGCACCCTTCCTTGCTGAAAAGTAATATACCACTGTAGTTAGATTCTATGCTAGGAGGCTGAATGCCTGGGTATGAATCCTAACTCTTACTTATTGGCTGTGTAATCTTGGACAAGTTACTTCCATTCCCCGTGCCTTGCTATAAAATGGGTTTACTCACAGCACCAGCCTCGCCAGGACAGATGGGAGTTCAAGTTAAGTGATACATGTGTAGTACTTAGCAATAGGTTGGATGCTGAGTATAAGCTGTAATTATTAGAATGATAGGTTAAAAAAGCCCAACACAGGATATAGTCAAAATCTTAATCTGACACTGGATGAAGACGCAGGTTTCATGAATTTTTTGCTCACTTTTGGCTTATGGATTATCCTATGGAAACTTGAAATCACAAACACATTCACAGAAAACACTTTTCCCAGCCTTGGAATAGTCCCCTGTAAAATTATGAATAAGATGTGAGATTTTCTAGTTATATTCCAACAACTTGCTCTGAATCCATATACTTCTACAAATTAAGTTAACAATGAGAAATATAGACTATGCCTATTTCCCTTTAATAATAGGATACTTCTTTTGGGATTTAGCTCATGATAATTTATATGGAGAGAAAATGGTATTCTCATATATTTGGTTCCTAAATTTTGATAGAGATTAATACAGTTTTTGAGAGTAAAATGTTCTCAGACCTGTCTCCAAAACTTCTCCAAAGCTATTTGGTTTTCAATTAAAATAGCAAGAGCTCAGTGTGAGGGATATACATGGAACATGAGTATGAACTGAGCATACTGCAAATGAATTAGAATGATCTTAATATTTGGAGGTCATGGATGAGGAAATTTTTTTGTTTATTATGAACTGATTTAAAAAATACTTTTCTTTTTCCTTTCTCCATGAATGTACAGGTTGACTGTGTTGTTGTTATTGGAGGGAAATCAAAGGATGCGGGAAAATGGATGGATGACACCTGCGACAGTAAGCGGGGCTACATATGCCAGACACTTCCTGGTAAGTTCTACCAAACCTCTGCTGCCCCTAAGTGCTGGGGTCTGTGAATATTGTTTTAAAAATGACCTTCTCCTCAATTTTGCTGTGAACCTTAAACTGCTCTAAAAGGCAAAGTTTTATTTTTAAAAGTGGCCATTCCCTTGCACATCAACAGGTTTGTTTCATTCTTGCTACAATCCATCTATGCCTGTGACAGACAAACAGGGCAGTATTTTCTGTAATTTATTCATGGGTGTGCCTCCTCATCCATTACTGGAAAGTTTTGAGTACATTAAATTTTGAGCTGAAACTTTTTCTAATTTTGTTAGAAATGTGGGACATTTGTCTGCTTGTACCTGTTTGAAAATGTCAGAATAGGAATACCTCAGTTCAACCTACATGATTTGAGATTCATTAGTACAAAATGTGACATATGCTTCATTACTTGCTATCTGATTTGTGTCCTTATTTTCATCTTAGGATGCCTGCATAATGTATTTGAGCATATATGGGTACTTACTGAGAATCAAGATTATGGTTACACACATTTTGGTTTTTAGTGAAAATAGAATTAAAATGTCTACCTATATAGGAAGAGGGTCAGAAATTAAAAGCAATAATCATTCACATGCATATTTAAAATAATCTTTTTCTTCTTACAAACATAAGTGATAGAGTATTTGCCACCAGTAAAAGCTTATTGGAAAATTTAAAAATATTCTGTATATATTCATTCATGTTATTTATATCAATTCATGTTTTTATTCACATGTCTGCATACATGAATACAGAACAGTTTTAAAGCATATACAACACACTGAAATTTTAGAAAATATAGAAAAACATAAAGAAAAGAAAAAACTACCCACAATCCAACCACCTGAAAATAACCACTCAATATTTTAGTTTTCTTTTTGATTTTTTTCTATGAACGTTTAAATAAACAAGCAACTTGGACAGATGAGCTGTTTCCTAGTTGCATATAGTCTTCCATGAAACTTGTTTTTTAGCTTTATCTTAAGCCTCATTCCCAAAATTTTCTAGTGATATTAAGACAAACCTGGATATCCCCAAGTTGGGGAATGTTAGGACAGTTTAGTTCCTACAGGCTGTACAATTTAAGGGTCCTAGTTGGGGTCTCTTGGTTTAGTGATATTCTATCAACGCAAGGTGGCAGCAATTAGCTGAAGAAAGGGGAGGCTGCCCTTGCCTGCCGAGCTGAAGCTGATGCCTTACTAGGCATGATCAATTAAGTTTGTCATTTGGATAGTGACAGAACAAGGCATATGGTGGATTCAGCTGGCATGTAGTGGAACTGGTTGAAAATTGGCCAACACAAAATTTGTAGGCAAGGATATCTAGAACACTAGACTAGGGCTTGGAAAATTTTTTCTGTAAATAGATGAGTATAAACATTTTAGGCTGTAAATATAGTCTCTGTTGGAAGTATTCAACTCTGTTATGATCTTGGATAATAATAGACCATACATACACAAATGAGCATAGTTGTGTTCCAGTATAACTTTATTCATGGACATGAATTTGAATTTCATATATTTACATGTCAGAAAATATTATTCTTTGATTATTTATTTAAACAATTTAAAAGTCAGTCTTAGCTCAATGGACTACAAAACAAAAGCATTCAACAGGCCATATTTCACCTTCTAGCTGTCATTTGCTAAACCTCTGCCCTAGAGCATCAATTAAAACACACAGAACCAAATGCTTTATTTGAGTCTTGACAATAAGTGGCACAAGGTATGGGTGGGCATAAGTGTATCTAAAAGTTATTAGTAACCCATGCCAGGAAATTGAGGAGGAAAAATCAGGAAGCCAAAGTAACTGGCTAACAAGGGCTCTGCCCTAGAGTCAGTTTGGATAAAACATGGGGGTCCTGGGGTAAGGGCATAGGAAATCATCAATGAGAGTAAAGCTTGATCCTGAGATCAAGGTTAAATGAACCAGGGACTGGTGTATGACTTAACTCTGGAACTTACACCAGTTTCCTGTAGGTACATTACTGACAAATGCAGTCGGATAGATATAGAGAGATGCAAATGCATCGACAGAGTGGAGCAAAAGTGGGGAGAGGGAGGAAGATTGCCTCTGACCTTGAAATTTGGCCACAAGGGAAAAATAAAGATGAATAATGCCAGAATGATAGGTGTTTTTAAATTTAACTGTGGCATTGCATTTCTTTCATCCAGATACTAAATCCTGCTGAAGTTTGCAAGTTTGTTTTTTAGTTTAGAAACTTGATCATATATCTAAGTTAATATTCTAAATAAAATTGGAAAGTTATTTAATTCAATCAGGCATTCAATTAAAAACAGAGCTTTGTTTATTGCAGCATTATTTACAAAGCCAAAATACAGAGACAACCTAAATGTCCAGTAGATGAATAGATAAAAAGTATGTGGTACACTAATCTAAAGTCTGCAATGGCAACAAGTATGTACCTATCAATAATCACCCTAAATGTAAATGGACTGAATGTACCAATCAAAAGACATAGAGTCACTGAATGGATAAAAAACATAGATCCATCTATATGCTGCCTACAAGACTCACTTTAAACTGAAAGACATACACAGACTAAAAGTGAAGGGATGGAAAAAGATATTTCATGTGACTAATAGAGAGAAAAAAGCAGGATTTGCAGTACTTGTATCAGACAAAATAGACTTCAAAACAAAGAAAGTCACAAGAGACCAAGAGGACATTACATAATGATAAAGGGGTCAATCCAACAAGAAGATATAACCATTATAAATATCTATGCTCCCAACAGAGGAGCACCTACATATGTGAAACAAATACTAACAGAATTAAAAGGGGAAATAAAATGCAATGCATTCTTCCTAGGAGACTTCAACACTCCACTCACTCTGAAGGACAGATCAACTAGACAGAAAATAAGTAAGGACACAGAGGCACTGAACAACACATTAGAACAGATGGACCTAACAGACATCTACAGAACTCTACCCCAAAAAGCAGCAGAATACACATTCTTCTCAAGTGCACATGGAACATTTTCAAAAATAGATCATATACTAGGCCACAAAAAGAGCTTCAGTAAATGCAAAAAGATTGAAATTGTGCCAACCAGTTTCTCAGACCACAAAGGTATGAAACTAGAAATAAATCACACAGAGAAAATGAAAAATGCAACAAACACATGGAGGCTTCACAATATGCTCCTAAATAATCAATGGATCAATGACCAAATAAAAACAGAGATCAAGCAATATATGGAGACAAATGACAACAAGTAATTCAACACCACAAAAATCAGTGGGACGCAGCCAAGGCAATCCTAAGAGGAAAGTATATTGCAATACAGGCCTACCTCAAGAAAGAAGAACAATCCCATATAAGCAGTCTAAACTCACAATTAATGAAACAAGAAAAAGATTAACAAATGAGGCCCAAAGTCAGTAGAAGGTGGGACATAATAAAGATTAGAGCAGAAATAAATAAAATTGTGAAGAAGAAAACAATAGAATCAGTGAAAGCTAGAGCTGGTTCTTCAAGAAAATAAACAACATAGATCAACCCATAGACAGACTTATCAAGAAAAAAGAGAGTCTACACACATAAACAGAATCAGAAATGAGAAAGGAAAAAAATCACTATGGACACCACAGAAGTACAAAAAAATATGAGAGAATACTATGAAAAATTATATGCTAACAAACTGGATAACCTAAAAGAAATGGAAAACTTTCTAGAATAATATAACCTTCCAAGGCTGACCCAGAAAGAAACAGAAAATCTGAACAGACCAATTACCAGCAACAAAATTGAACTGGTAATCAAAAAACTACCTAAGAACAAAACACCTATACCAGATGGCTTCGCCACTGAATTTTATCAAACATTTAGTGAAGATCTAATATCCATCCTTAAAGTTTTCCAAAGAGTAGAAGAGGAGGGAATACTTCCAAACTCATTCTATGAGGCCAGCATCACTCTAATACCAAAACCAGGCAAAGACACCACAAAAAAAGAAAATTACAGACCAATATCCCTGATGAACATAGATGCAAAAATACTCAACAAATTATTAGCAAACCAAATTCAAAAAATACATCAAAAAGATCAACCATCATGATCAAGTAGGATTTATTCCAGGGATGCAAGGATGGTACAACATTCAAAAATCCATCAACATCATCCACCACATCAACAAAAAGAAGGACAAAAACCACATGATTATCTCCATAGATGCTGAAAAAACATTTGACAAGATTCAACATCCATTCATGAGAAAAACTCTCAACAAAATGGGTATAGAGGGCAAGTACCTCAACATAATAAAGGCCACATATGACAAATCCACAGCCAACATTATACTTAACAGCAAGAAGCTGGAAGCTTTTCCTTTCAGATCAGGAACAACACAAGGATGCCCACTCTCCCCTCTTTTATTCAACACAGTACTGGAGGTCCTAGCCATGGCAATCAGACAACACAAAGAAATAAAAAGCATCCAGATTGGTAAGGAAGAAGTTAAACTGTCACTATTTGCAGATGAAATGATACTGTGCATAAAAAACCCTAAAGAATTTACTCTAAAACTACTAGATCTAATATCTGAATTCAGCAAAGTTGCATGATACAAAATTAATACACAGAAATCTGTTGCATTCCTATACACTAATGATGAACTAGCAGAAAGAAAAAATCAGAAAAACAATTCCATTCACAGTTGCATCAAAAATAATAAAATACCTAGGAATAAACCTAACCAAGGAAGTGAAAGACCTATGCTCTGAAAACTACAAGACACTCATAAAAGAAATTAAAAAAGGTACCAATAAATGGAAACACATCCCATGCACAATCCCAGGAAGAATTAATATTGTTAAAATGGCCAACCTGCTTAAAGCAATCTACAGATTCAATGCAATTCCTACCAAATACCAACAGCATTCTTCAACGAACTAGAGAAAATCATCCTAAAATTCATATGGTACCACGAAAGACCTTGAGTAGCCAAAGCAATTTTGAGAAGGAAGAATAAAGCTGGGGGGATTATGCTCCCCAACTTCAAGCTCTACTACAAAGCCACAGTATTCAAGACAATTTGGTATTCATACAAGAATAGACCCATAGACCAATGGAACAGACTAGAGAGCCCTAATATAAATCCAACCATATATGGTCAATTAATGTATGATAAAGGAGCCATTGATATACAATGGGGAAATGACAACCTCTTGAACAGCTGGTGTTGGCAAAACTGGACAGCTATGTGCAGGAGAATGAAACTGGATTATTGTTTAACTCCACACACACACAAAAAGTAAACTCAAAATGGATCAAAGACCTGAATGTAAGTCATGAAACCATAAAACTCTTAGAAGACAACATAGGCAAACATCTCCTGAATGTAAGCATGAGCAACTTCTTCCTGAACCTATCTCCTCAAGCAAAGGAAACAAAAGCAAAAATGAAATCGTGGTTTGACTACATCAAACTAAAAAGTTTCTGTATGGTAAAGGACACCATCAACAGAACAAAAAGGCATCCTACAGTATGGGAGAATATATTTGTAAATGACATATACGACAAGGGGTTAACATCCAAAATATATAAAGAACTTAAATGCCTCAACACCCAAAAAGCAAATAACCCAATTAAAAAATGGGCAGAGGATATGAAGAGACAGTTCTCCAAAGAAGAAATTCAGATGACCAACAGACACATGAAAAGATGGGCCACATCATTAATCATCTGGGAAATGCAAATTAAAACCACAATGAGATACCAGCTCACACCAGTAAGGATGGCCAGCGTTGAAAACACTAAAAACAACAAATGTTGGCGAGGATGTAGAGAAAGAAGAACCCTCCTACACTGCTGGTGGGAATGTAAGCTGGTTCAACCATTGTGGAAGGCAATTTGAAGGTTCCTCAAAAAACTAAAAATAGAAATACCATTTGACTCAGGAATCCTACTCCTTGGAATTTACCCAAAGAATACAAGTTCTCAGATTCAAAAAGACATATATACCCCTATGTTTATTGCAGCCCTTTTTACAATAGCCAAGATATGGAAGCAACCTAAGTGTCCATTAGGATGAATGGATAAAGAAGGTGTGGTACATATACACAATGGAATACTATTCAGCCATAAGAAAGAAACAAATCCTACCATTTGCAACAACATGGATGGAGTTGGAGGACATTATGCTCAGTGAAATAAGCCAGGCAGAGAAGGACAAATGCCAAATGATTTCCTTCATTTGTGGAGTATAACAATGAAGCAAAACTGAAGGAACAAAATGGCAGCGGACTCAGAGACTCCAAGAATGAACTAGTGGTTACCAAAGGGGAGGGCGAGTGGGGAGGGAGAGAGATGGGGATTGAGGGGTTTTATGTTTAGTACACATGGTGTGGGGGATCACGGGGACAACAATGTTGCACAGAGAAGGCACACAGTGAATCTGTGGCATCTTACTACACTGATGGACAGTGACTGCATTGGGGTATGGGTGGGGACTTGATAATATGGGTAAATGTAGTAACCACATTGTTTTTTCATGTGAAACCTTCATAAGAGTGTATGTCAATCATACCTTAATAAAAAATTAAAAAAATAAAAATACAAAAAAATGAAATCTGTTTTAACCTTTAAAAAAATGTAAGTGGTGCATATATACAATGGAATATTACTCAGCCATAAAAACAGTGAAATCTTGCCATATGAAATAACATGTATAGGCTATGAGGGTACTATCCTAAGTGAAGTAAGTCAGACAGAGAAATAAAATACTAGATGATTTCACTTATATGTGGAATCTAAAAATACAAAATAAGCAAACAAACAAACCAAACAGAAATAGACTCATAAACACAGGTGAACAGACTGATGGCTGCCATAGGGGAGGGGTTGGGAGCATGCGTGCAACAGGTAAAGGGGGGGATTAGTGAGAATGTTTTATATTTTGATCTGGCTGAGAGTTATATGAGTATATACACATGTCAAAATTCATCAAGCTGTACACTATTTGTGCATTTGGTGTATTACTATATTATAAAAAATTAAAGCCATGTTTTCTGCTACAAAAATGGACCATGAAAATATCTTTAACACCTGATGGTAATCAGCTCTCCTGATTATTTTTACGATGTAGAAAATATAGTAGTCATGTAGTGATGGCATTCAAGTAATGTTATTTAGGTAATGCTAATGAAAATAATCTTTTTATTCCAGACTCTTCCTTGCCTAATTCTCCAGCAACAGTTCCAACAGATGGCTTTATTAAATATGGTGAAAGTAGCTATTCACTCATGAAATTAAAATTACAATGGTATGAAGCAGAGGATTATTGCAAGCTTCACTCTTCCCTTATTGCTAGCATTCTAGATCCCTATAGTAATGCATTTGCATGGATGCAAATGCAAGCAGTTAATGAACCTGTGTGGATCGCTCTGAACAGTAATTTGGTAAGATGCTGGAAACATGTGTGACTTGATGTGAATGATAAGTTGTGATTGAATATGATTATCTTCCTGTTCATTCTGTTGCACACTTGTTATGTGTAGGCAACTGTGCCAGGCAATGTGAATGCTACTAACATGAACAAAACCCAGTCTTTCAAGATTCCATTGTCTCTAGAGATTTAGCAAGCTAATGAAGTGTATTAGAAACCAAACTAATATCAGTTCTCATATTGCTTTTGAATATTAAAATTAGATTCTGTATCTAAACAGTTTTATTTAGTAACTTACTTCCTTCTAGGACCATGATTACCATGCCATAGGAATTAAGAAAGCAGATCAGGGGCATAGTTCCTAGATAATGAGGACACTTTTTATTTTTTGTGGCTAGCCATTCTAGACTTGTTATCAGTCTGAAGTTGTGGAGCTTCCATCCATGTGTGAGACACTTCACTGCAGTCAATTCCCTGTGTTCTGTAGCAGAGAAAGCAAGGTTGGCAGAGAATGGGGTAGAAAGAGGGAGGAGGCACAGAACTATAACTGGTGCTGGATTTGCCAAAATACTCTTAAAGTGAGTCTTCTCTGATCCATCTATCCTCCAAACATATATCCATCTATCTAGCTAGTCAATCAGCAAACTTCCTAGTAGAAGAAATAGAGATGTCAACAAGTCATTAAGACATAATGCAAGTGTCAAAGTGAGGAATATACAAAGTGCTGGGAGAGGAGAGAAAAGGGATCCTTTGCACCAGGGAGGAGAACCAAGAAGGCTTCTCAGAGAAAGTTAAACTTCAGAGATGTAGTCTAGGACAGTGGAACATAAGTCTAGGACAGTGGAACATAAGAGGATAAAACTTAATGTAAAGAGGAAAGTAGATTGGTGTCAGATTTTATAGAGCATCTAATGCCATGATGCACAGATAGAAATTCACACCTCATGCAATGATTATTTCCTAAGTAGGGAAGTGAGTACCATAACGATTTCTGTGATTAAACTTATGCAAGATATTTTTATGTCTGTCCTGACCCTATTTTTAGTAATTAGTTCACTTGGTAATTCATTCATTTTCGTCTCACAGACATGTTCATAATTCTCTTATGAATCTAAAATAGGCTTTTATTTATCTTTAGAAAGATTAGTTTTTTACTGTACCAACATTTATAATTAAAACAGTAATATCATCTTCCTTACATCTATAGAATTAATGATTATTTAAGCATTATTTGATTAAAAATGATAAAACACTACAAAATTCTAACTTGAGATATCACATACATTTGATTTTGTCATTAGATCTTTGGTGATTGGCTTGGTAAATTAAATAATGCATTAAGGGGACACGTATTGTTTAAAGACTTAATTATCTCTGATTAATGTTATATATCATCTGTTCTTAGGAATTATATATAAAATCTCTTTTAGGCTATAAAGAATATTATTGATAAATAATATTTTTGATCTTATCAATTGATTTGTATGTGACCATAAATGTGTTCCACCAAATATAATAAGAAATTAAATGTGCAATAAGAAATTAAATGTGCAAATTGAATAAAAACAATCATCTTTGTAAAAAATGCCATTAAAAAATAATTTCAAAATTTTAAAATATCATTGAAAAGACCACCCAACTGGAAGGCAAGACACAGGCTCCTTTATTTTCTACGGGTGTAACCCACCTAAGGCATTTGTCATCTGCACATTTGAACCACTGAACAATGAGATCACAGGAGATTAGTGTTTCCCCCAAAGCTTCACAAGTTCAATGAAAATTACTTTTTATTATCATTTTAATGATAATACAATAAGTACTTTATTTGTTCTGAAGATGAAACTTCTCTTTCATACTGAAAACCTGCAAATAAGGACAGTTTTATAAGAGAAGATGTAGGTTTTTAAGACAATGTTTTTCAAATTAGCTTTCAAGAGTGGATTCCTGGGCATCTCCAAGAAAGTCTTTTTAAAAGGCTGCATTTACTGAATTTGAGTAGGTAGAAATGATTTATAATGTTCTTTTTATTCCCAAATCTTTGAGATTCTTGTCAAATGACAGCATTAAATATCCTTTTTGTTCCTCACTCAGTTCGTTTGTTATTTGCTAAATGAAGCACGTCTCCATGTTAATGGTTGTTTTTGTTCTTGCAGACCAATAATGAATATGTTTGGACTGATAAATGGAGGGTGAGGTACACTAATTGGGCGGCTGATGAGCCCAAAGTGAAATCAGCGTGCGTTTATCTGGACCTTGATGGCTACTGGAAGACAGCACAATGCAATGAAAGTTTCTATTTTCTCTGTAAAAGATCAAATGGTAATTGAATATGCAAAAACAATCAGGGGATCTGAAATTATCTCAAAAAGCTGACAATAAATATTGCTGTTGATATTAAACAGTAACATATCTTAGGTAACTTAAGATAAAACATATTCCTTCACTTAGTAAAAGACCAATTTGGTACTAAGCAAATATACATAGGTCAAAATAATAGAGATAAGAAATTTTGTTCATTGCTCATGTTCATTTACTATTTATAAATTTCTGAATTTTTATTATTGAGATTATCCTCTGAATCTATGATGTCAGAGTCCCCAGCAAATTAAAAAATGTTTACTTTTGAAGTTAGTAGCATATCTATGTCAAAATAATTTTACCAGAATGCATGTAGATTAATCAGTCAGTGATATCACAGTACTAACAGCCCTGGGACTGGACAGTGATTAAGTCCTTGAATTTTACCTACAGCACAGATGTCAGCCACAGCTAAGAAGAGTTTACAGGGGTTAGCATCCCAGAAAAGGAAGAGCATTTTGAAGGGGGACTCCTTTGCAAATTATTTTTGTGTGGATTCTGTTTTGTGAACTTACTAACATCTTTGTAGATTTTCTGTAGATCTGCATTCTTAATCATGGATGTGATCAATTGCTACTGTACCATAGTGCATTCTATTGAAATATATTTAAATTGAAAAAATATGATGCAGTAAAAAGAAAATTCAGTAATAAAAGTGGAAGATCCAAATGATTACATTAAAACTTAAAAAATAAGGTGATAGGTAATAAAACTTTTTTAGCTGTTAACATATTATTCTATGTACTTACTATGAAACTTTAGGATGTACTTTATTTTTTAAAATGTCTTTTTATTAACAGAAATCCCAGCCACTGAACCTCCACAACTGCCTGGCAAATGCCCAGAGACAGAACACACAGCCTGGATTCCTTTCCATGGCCACTGTTACTATATTGAGTCTTCATATACACGAAACTGGGGCCAAGCTTCTCTGGAATGTCTCCGAATGGGTAAGTTCCACATTTACTGTAAGAAAATCTCACAATCATCTATTTTGGATTACCATGGTACTAATAACACTATATATTACAAACATAAGGATGTAAAAATACCTGCTTATTTTTTCTTACTTTGTCATTAATCTACAATTAGATGAACACCATTATGTTTACTAGGCTCTCCCCTACTCCAAGTCTCCCCAACAAACCCCATTACAGTCACTGTCCATCAGCATAGTAAGATGTTGTAGAATCACTACTTGTCTTCTCTGTGTTGCACAGCCTTCCCCTCCCCGCCCTCCAACATTATACATGCTAATCATAATACCCCCTTATCCCTTCCTATCCTCCCATTCTCCCCAGTCACTTTCCCTTTGGTAACTGTTAGTCCATTCCTGGGTTCTATGATTCTCCTACTGTCTTGTTCCTAAAGTTTTTCCTTTGTTCTTTTTTTTTTTTTTTT